GTGTGACATTTGTCAGAAAACTGTTTTTTCACTATTGTTTACTACCATAAATGTATTTGCAAACAGTTTTTAACTGGGGCCATTGCCCTAGAGTTTGTAATTACTGGCATTATATGTTTTAATTGTCATTGTGTGAAGAGTGGACGTTTTAATAAAATATGGAATGTAGATTCAATATTTGTATTTGTATTTGTATCAAATTTTCATTTGAATAATTGAAATAACTTTAAATTGTCACCCTGTTTGGCACATATTTGGACCAGAGGAAAAAAAGCCTTTTATGCAAAGCATGCATGATCATAAAAGAAAAAATACCCAGGGAGAGTCAAGGAAGATGGGAGAATTTTATTATAGACATGGGTGATTTGGGTGTTGACTGACTAGATGATATAAGTTACAGAGCTTCCTTCTGAGTTCTGCTCAGTTTTTGTGAGGCCTAGTAAATAATGTGAAGCTAATATTGACAGACCACAATGTGTCTTTGCATGGTGGTACAAATCTATTCTTCAGGGGTAAGATGAACCACAGGAATCACCCCAATAATTTATCTTGCTTGAGCCCCTAAGCATTGTAGTTTTGCATGGGGCCTGAGCTCAGCCCTGTGTGTGCTATTTTAAGAAACAGCTTAGAAAGACTACAAGTTGGACATCTTTTTACACACTTGAGTACCATATAGCAGCAGCATACCCAAAATGTTGACCTTGAATAGCTTAATGGTATACCATCTGGATTTTAAAAATCAGTCGGCATCCTGGAAGTATTTTTTAAAAGACAAACTTCTCTGGCAAAGAAAAATTTAATGACTTGTGTAGGAGACTATTGGTTCTCAGTCCATGATTTACGCTATGATTCCTTGAAAAAGAAGGAAGTAGGCTTCTTGCTTTCTGTTTCTTAAAATCCATATTTTTCAGAAGCATAATTATGGATATAAGTTAATAAATACAAATTCACATAAATTAATAATGAAGAAGTTAAATGAAAATGAATGCAACAGATTTAATATTTTTTTAACTCTTCCATAATTCTATTAATTCATGTAGGCTGGAACATATTTGCCACAGTCATACTTGATTCATGAGCAGATGATAGTCACTGATCGTATTGAAAATGTGGATCAACTAGGTTTTTTCATTTATCGCCTTTGTCGTGATAAAGAGACTTACAAATTGCAGCGCAAGGAAGCACTGAAAGGTATGGTATAAACAGATTAGATAATAAAGATAGCCATAATTAATGCTTTGTTTCCACATGAAACTGCAAAACTAACATTTCAATCTGAATAAAATCTGGTACATGCAGTCCTCTCTTACCAATGCTAATTGGAATCAGGAATACCATCACTANGGATGGAAATTAATCAAGGAGAGAAGCAACCTAGAAGTAAGGAAAAAAGTCCTGATAGAATAATTTATCAGTGTAATAGTTTGTCTCCAGAAGGTGTGGGTGTTCCATGTCCATGACTATACGTTTTTAAGAAGAGACCAGACAGACCTTTGTTGTCTCCTCTAGGGTCTTGCTTGAACAGGTGTTGGACTAGAAGATCTTCAAGGTCCCTTCCAATTGTCATTCTGTTATATACTGATCATGTATAGTTTGATTTACTGTTTTAAATGTATCTGGAACATGTGAGGTAGAATACTATTCTGGAATACTTTCCTTAAGCTAATTCTTTTTCCCCCCTCTTGTTATCAGAAAATAATCTTTTAATAACTAGAGATTGAAATAGAATAAATGATACCTAAAAGTATTTAAATGTTTGTTTTGAAAGAACAGTATAGTACACTAAGTCATATACAGTGTTACTATTAAGAGATTCATGCATTTTTTTTTATTAGAGACTTACAGCTTATCTTGACCTCAGCCTGAATAAGTGCTATGTCATTCCTCTGAATACGTCAGTTGTTATGCCACCTAAAAACTTCTTAGAACTGCTGATCAACATCAAAGTAAGATGCATTTATTTTTTTAAAAATGTATTTAGTATTTAGTAATCCTTATCTTCATTAAGCTAATTTACGTCCCAGTTGATTAGAACTGAACCGAATTTTATCCCATTACCGGTATTAGTATTTATATTAACATTTTTACTACCTTACACTAAACCTATTTATAATAACTCCTCCGAACAAAACCAGACCTTTGCAATTTGTTCTTTACTTATGGTTGAACAAACATCAAACTGACAAGCTTAAAAAATTAAAATATATAAATTACATAAAAGGTGACCAAAACTATAAAAAAGGCACCAGCTGTTTCCCATGGGTTAAAGCTACAAGTAATAATTTTGCCAGTGCCATTGAGAAATTGGTCACTTTAAAGGAAATCAGTACTCTCCTTTAATGGCTGCAATTCAGTCCAGCAAAATAGTCACTAAGCAAACTACATGAGTATGTGTGTGTGTGTGTGTGTGTGTGTGTGTGTGAGAGAGAGAGAGAGAGAGAGAGAGAGATTGCAAAGGTTTCTGGTTGCTGCTCAGATAAAGGCTTCTCATGCAGCAACGCCAGCCCCCGCACTCTCAATTATGCATTGTTATCAGGGGCAAAAATGTGAATAAAAGTGTGACATTTGTCAGAAAACTGTTTTTTCACTATTGTTTACTACCATAAATGTATTTGCAAACAGTTTTTAACTGGGGCCATTGCCCTAGAGTTTGTAATTACTGGCATTATATGTTTTAATTGTCATTGTGTGAAGAGTGGACGTTTTAATAAAATATGGAATGTAGATTCAATATTTGTATTTGTATTTGTAT